AACTTCAAGTAGCTGAGGATATTGTATTGTATACATTATAGGTAACAAAAAAACGTCTAACGGTCGTGTTGGCATCAAATTGGTTTAAACTCCCATTTTTCGCGCAAAATCGACCTTGAACGTACGATATTTACATTCGTTTGTTACGGTTATAAAAACAGTCTATCAGTACCATTGTCGTTGATTTTGATTCATGTATAAATTTGCATACCACAGACAATGCACAGTTATCAATCAGATAGAGCTCGTCAAGACCCTCTATCTAAATGAACGAATCCTAACAGAAATCGATCTAAACGAGGCTTCCCGTGCCATCTATGCTCCACCGGCGCAATGTTGCTTTTGTTACAAACCCATGTTTTTTGTTCTGTATATGTTTATGATATTGCTTTTCCGATTGGGCCTTTATTGTTGTTATCTTGTTCCTGGGATGTCTATGAATGTCTTAAGGCGCCTAAATGCTTATCGCTTCTTCTGGATCGCGTTTGTTGAATAAGATACAGTGCCGGCTACATATGTATAAAACAGGATGAAGACGAAGCCCGTTCGAACTTGCCTTAAGTGAGGATACGCAGTATCTGACAGGTAGTGTCACAGAAGCACGGAGCAAACGACTGAACGACAGAGGAAGTCAGGGCGAAATGCGGAGAAAGATGTCTGAATGGATGGCATCAGGATGAACCAATGTTTCTTAGCTAATTTTATTATACAGGTACGTCAGCGCATGGAATGTCTAGACAATCTAACAAATGTACTATATCCTATATCTCAGGGAATATTGGGATCCCCAATCGAATCAACGATCGAGTTACTCGATTTTATTTTGTTGACATTTTAATTTCTAAGGTCAGTAAGGTACTCACATGGGAATGATGTGAGGAGGACAAAACTTTATGGTCCTTTAGTTACGAAAAATGCTATAAATTATTGCTGGAATCAGAGTGTTTTCAGACAGATCTATTGTACGTTACTTCACATGAGCCTATTTGGTATTGTTTCCTACTCAGTTATTTTATGCCGACTACGTAAATCCCTGTACATGAAAAATGCACAGTTTTAAAAGCGCACACGTCAGGCACCAATTGCTGTGCTATCCGATGATTAGCAAAACCGTTGCTTGAATACTTGAGGCAACAGTACGTTCGTCGGTCTTCAGATAACGTTCACTATCCTGAGTCGGTTGTTATCATGTGAATGATTCCTGATCTGATTTACGCGCTAGCTTGCTTGCCTCCCCTTCCCCTCTCGCCCGCTTCCCCTGGTTTGATCTGATCTGTGTGAGCCTGGTTGCGACTCCCAAACGTGACACTACCATATTCAGTCGGCTTTCGTGTCCTCCGGTTTATTCCCTGCGAAAGGACAATGACAGAGACCCTCGGTCACCCGAACGCCAGACGTGGATCATTCAGGCAGTGATTGACCGTTCAACGAGCGTAGAAATGTCTCGAAGAGAAACGGAATTTCCTCTCACGCGATAACCTCTTTACAATGTTGCTCGAGAGCCTTGTGAAACTTCAAATTAACGCCTGTTGGGGAAAGACAAAAGAACAAAAGCGAGAAATTAAATCACGACAAAGTCCTTCTGCCGGCCGTACAGGCCGTTTGGTTCGGGGAAGCGCTCGTGCATATACTGTCAATTACCGAAAAAGTAGATGTAAAATTTGTCCTGCCTCACCAGCGTCCAGACAATTGAGCGTGGTACACACTGGTAAGCTAGAGAGATTCGTTATTAACAGAACAGCAGCAACGATTACCAGTGTTTGTGGCCTGGCCGTTCTCCATTGGCTTGACGTGTTCTCAATCTGCCTAACTTTGATAGAATCCTCTGTTGATTGTTGACAAATCTGTTCATTTTATTTATATTTATTGCGACCAATACATACATGTATTAGTACAGTAAGACGTCCAATGCTGCTGAGTCTCAAGCAGAAGTCGTCGGCATACGGCGGAAGAGGGCGGCAGCAGCAGGATTGTCATTTCGGCAGATTATGTCATAGGAAAAACTGTCGAGGATCAATAGGGACACCTGATTAGCTAGCCAATTGGTATATAATTCATAGAATTTTCTATGTGAAATGAACTCGACACTGGATTCGTTCTTTTCATAGTCTGTGAATTAAACAAAAAGGACAGAAACAGGCCAGTGATTGCCGTTCACTTGTATCCGCATGCTAAACGCATAGCGTAAAGTGCTGCACAATGGGTGACGTCCGAAACGTTTTGACGTTATTGAGTCTCTTCCTCTGTTTCAGCCTTGTCATTAATCTTTTTCAGTGGCATATTTCATGCTCGATTGAAAATAGGTAAGTGGGTGTATCTACGCACAACGTTGACACTTCTTCTTGTTGTAGGGGTCCATTTTCTCCGCTGAGTTCAGGTCGACCTTCCTTAGGCTGACACCCCACGCACCCGGTGTTCCCTAAATCTTTCTTTGCCCTCTTCATCCTGAAGCCTACTCATATAAATAAAGGAAGGTAAACATCTCGCTAAGATGCTATTCGGTATAATTCAACTTAACTTAGAAGCAATGACAACACATTTAGCGACAACGCCCATGTGTTGTCATTGTCGGCGCTGTCATCGTTGTTGTTGTTGTTGTTGTTAACGTTGTTGTCGTCGTACGCTCGGTCATGTTGGAGATGTTTAACGTCTCGTGTCGTTCATCTGTCCGTCCGACTGCCACCCGCCGCTGAGGCAGCCCATTTGTCGTACGATTTCTCGTTTTGTCCCATATCCTTCTCGTTTAGTACTATTCTTGTCGCTGTTGCTGTCTTTTTTGTAGCTGGTTACTCCTTATGTTGCCTGACCGCTGCTATGACTGTTATGGCCGCCGTTGTTGGTGTCGTCGTTGAGCCATTGCTCGGTTCGCTCCTGTTTATTGCGCGAGTTCCTTCGGTCGCTGCTGCTGCCGCACCGCGGGACGTCGACAGGCTGAAAATGCCAGGAGTCAAATGCCGATTTGAAAGCAACCGCGCACGAATGTGATGGCCAAACGCCGAAATGTGCGCGCGATGTCTTCGGTTGCTTCGAAACGTATGGATGTACATATACATGTGCGTACACACACACCAACACTCGTAGAAAACTATGCGCGGTCGATTTATCCGTCCGTCCGTCCGTCCGTCCGTCCGTCCATCCGTCCGTCTGTCTGTCTATCGCAGGGGAATTTCAGTTCAGGCTACCTGTAGTCGCCACATATGTATACGTCGATACCCATGAGCGAGCAAAGTGTCCGCGAGAGAGCGGCGGCAACCGCTGGTCCTTTCGGCGCTGGCCACCGAGGTTCGAGTGTTTGCTACTCGTAGTAGTAGAGACTATATATAAAATATAAATTTACAGATTTGCTGCTTTGTCAGTACTACTACCACTACTCGTCTACTGCTGCCACCGCTGCTACTTCTCTCTGGTGGTAGTGCCTGCTGCTCTCATATCCGAGTGTCTACGATGCCGTCAGTTTGTCGACGGCCATGGCATCTGCGACAGTGCGCAGCATCTAGATGAGTGCGCGGGAGAGTTAACAGATAGGCTCCAAGCTGTGAGAGTGACACTTATCGAATCAACAACAACAGCAGCAGCAGCAGCAAACGAAAAAAGAAAGACGTAAGTGGCGGTTAACATTTTATTGCCAACTAAGGACCAACAATAACGCGGCGTTACTTGCAGCGGCAGTAGCGACAACTAGCGGACAACAAACCATCGCAACAGAGCGAGCAGAAGCAGCATTTGTCGGCGGAGGCGGCAGTCGAGACGACGCTGACTCACAGCAACGTTAGCAATGGAGGTGCCAGTGGGGACCAATGTGACTTTTTGCTTTTGAGAAAGAACTCAGAAGGTGGCTTAGAGGCTTGATAATAATACGCTTGGCCCTATTAAGACCTGGCCGCAACATCGGCATGAGTGGCAGGGGCAACAGCTACTTGGTAACGGTAGCAGCGGTGCCCCTACGACACCGACTCCCCAAACATGCACTACCGCTTCTGTCAGAGCAGAGGGCAGCAACAGCCGAAGTTCTTCCACGATCCGACGACTAATCGCGAGTACAATCAGCGGTTACATCCTTACTCAGAGGCACAACAGCAACACAATAACGCCTTTATGGTTTCTCAAACGCCCTACTGACTAAATGGGTCTATCACTGGCGATACAACCAGGACAATCATAATAACAAGTCGTACGTACAGCTACAGTAAGAGGAGAAAAAAACATTCTACTTAATAAGATCTAGAAGTACACATATAGACATATATAGAAGCGGTCGCTCAAGAAGGTAGAACTCACGACCAGGCGATGACTATAAAAGAACAAATCAGTATAGCTAGAGCTCACCAGGCGACAGAGTGATCAAAACGAAGCGATGAGTAAAATAACGTCTGGGGGCGAGCAACTGGATATGCGAAAAGACGACACTCTACGAGCTGTTAAATGTAGTCGGCAGCGTGAGGACACAGGACAAGGGCAAGCGCGGCTGAGGATGCAAGAAACGTACAGGGTTTAAGAAGTAAGCAGGCCAGCTGTTAGTGCTATCGACACGAAGCATAGAACCGCTTCTCTCGTGTTGTGTTTATATTTTATCGTATTTAGCTGTATCTTGCCGCTGTATAACAGTGGACTTAGCTTGGTGGCCAATGGCAGTCTGAATTGGCAATTTAACAAATTAGCGGAAGGTTGCCAATTGGCAAAGACGTCGTTTGTTATCGAAAATGAGGAGCAGGGTAATCATTAGCTGAGCAAAGCTCAATTGTATTACCTGATCGGTAGCTAGCATCACCATAACAAGCTTATTGATGTACTTAAACTTCTTTCTTAACCTGTCGCGTCGAATTCGGACACAGTCATTCCTGATAGCTTGCTCTTTTAGTAAAATCGATCCGGGTCTCGATCTGGAGAAATTCGTATATTTCAATTATCCTGCTAGACAGATCATTAGTTTATATAACAACTATAATAATTTGTGAGTACTGATTGCTTTCATTCACGCGGCTTGCGCGTTTCGGTTCTAGGAGAATGTTCCCAACAGTCCGTGTGTCGTTCAGCGGCTTGCCGGCGGTCTCAACGGAGCATCGGTTCCACGTGCTACTAGATATAGTTCCGTGCGACAACAAGCGTTACCGGTACGCGTACCATCGTTCGTGCTGGCTGGTTGCGGGCAAAGCTGATCCACCTTCGCCGAACCGTCTTTATCAGCATCCCGACTCCCCGTACGCTGCCGATCAACTACGAAAGCAGGTCGTCTCCTTCGAAAAGGTCAAACTTACCAACAACGAATTGGACAAACACGGACATGTAAGTACTGTCTACGCACCGAGCGGCTGCTAATAATAGACAATGTTATTCGATCGCTTTGTCGAGGCATAGCGTTGCACGTCTGCTATTAATTCACTAACGACGTTTTAAGAAAAGGTTAGATAAAACATGTTGACTTTGTTTGGCATGTGCATTGAATTGACGCATGCCTTCCATACTTAAACTATTGTAAACGCTTATATTGTTCCTATCAATTTCTGCGTTCTGCAGACCAGCCTGATCGACCCGGGGAACGTTTATCAGTTAAAAAGGTATCCATTTGTTAGTTTTCATTGCCAATTGGCGTTGCGCTCGCGTTCGTTTCGGCACCTTATCCACAAGTAGTATTGAATGCTGTATGTCTCTGTGTGTGCCATGTGCTTACATCTCCCATTTTTCTACCCTGCCATCAACATCTCTTCATTACACACGCATACAATAGAGTCGACGATCGACACGGCTTCTGTTTGACACGGGTCACACTGTGCGTTGAGTTCACCTTATAGCGTATGATCTACTGCCGTAGCAGGCCAGATTCGACTAAATGTTCGATTCGGCTGACTACTATTAGTAGACAAGGATTTCATGAGTGGCGACGGTCACTTGCCGTCTTCGCTAGGCGTGGCCTTAGACCTTTCGGAACAAACGTCACTGATACCCATCCAGTCATTATTGTGTGTGTGTATGTTTGTGTATATGTCATTGCCAGTTCCAGTACCCCCACACGCTGGAGTAGGCTACACGTGAGACCACACCGATCTACTTGGCGCTCATAAATCCTGACGCGTTCGTTTTACTGGTACGACCGCCACTATCTGTCGATATATCGAGCGACGACAATATGTTTCGCGTCGGCCTCGCGGCCCTGCGGTGGCAATCGAAGAATAGCGAGGAGCCATATAACAACGTACGGCAAAATAGCCAGTTGTAGACACTCTAGGGAAGTGACTGCGGCTTCAACTGCGGGCGAACAAACGGTTTCCTATCGTGTTGGGTTAACTCGAAGGCCAAGCAGCGGTCGCGGCGACGATTGTTGCGCCGGGGAGTTGACCTGTCGATGTCTCTCACATTGAACGTCCAACGAATTAGCTTACACGCTTAGGCGGATATGCGGGGACGCCGCTCTAAGCACATCGGTAGCATAGATACACATACACTCACACATTAAAGACTTCTTTTTACTTCGCACCTCGCCCCCATCTTTGTCGCCACAGCCGAATATCACACACCAATGTGTGCTAGGGTAGTAAATTTTTCGGCGTGTCAAATGTCGAGAACTCACTCCGCTGTGTTATATGTGTACTATGAGTTTGAGCACGTACCTGTGAGAAAATAAAAGGGTATGATATGTTCACTGGGCACGCGATCTAACTGCATTTGTTTTTCTGTTGCTCATACCATGCTTCTCTTTCAACAATAGATCGTGCTCAACTCGATGCACAAGTATCAGCCGCGTATCCACCTCGTTCGTAGACGCGCGTCGGCATCCAACGCTCCAATCGGTAATGTAGCTGATGAAGAGTGCGCAACCTTCGTCTTTTCCGAAACAACGTTCACGGCTGTAACCGCTTACCAGAACCAGCTTATCACTAAGCTCAAGATTGACTCGAATCCTTTTGCCAAAGGATTTCGCGACTCGACTCGTTTAACGGATTTCGATACGGACCCTATTGGAAACCCTCTTCTCGGTGACAATCCATTCAGCCGGCTTATGGCTGACCCTGCGGCCTTAGCAGCCCTCCCTCAAGAGCTCCTGTCGCAGGCCGACCCTGCCGCCTATCTTCAGCAGATGGCAACATATGCTCAACAGATGGCACTATTCGGACCGCAAGCAACGCTAGCAGCTGGCATAGGTGGCCTGTCCGGAATGACCGGAATGCCGGTTATGGGTGCAGCTGCCTCCGCAGCTGCAGCTGCCGCCGCCGCCGCCGCCACCGCCACCGCCGCTGTTGCTAATCCCGAGATGGCGGCCGCCCAACAACATCAGATCTACGCCCTAAGGATGGCCGCCCTCCTACAAGCAACCGCAAACCAACAACAACAACAACAACAACAGCAGCAGCAACAGACGCGTGAAAGTCCACCGTTCACAACTGGCGATCCGAGGTTCGCTTCGTACCAGGTACATTCGCGCCATCAGTTGCCTGCAGCAGGCGCCAGACCTCAACCTGTTGGCTCATTAGTTGCTGCTGCGGCAACTGTACAAAACGTTCATAGTGGTGGAAGCGCCGCTTTGGTTGCCCAGAATGGCGTCTCCCACCCGGGACGCGTCAATCGCTCCGCAAGCCCCCCCATCGACGTATGCTCCTCTCCTCCGGAATCGCCTGCTCCTAGCAAATGAGCCTCAGACAGCTAGTGACGACGTAGTTGAAAAAACATTGTTAGAGACGTGCGTGCACCGACCATTAGTCAAAAGAACATATATAATGTGAGCAACCTAAAAGCTGACGTTTCATGGTTACCGTGCCGTATTCGCAAATAGTCTATGAGAAACGATTCATTACAATGTTAACCAGGGGCAACGGCGTCCGATATATAGCGTAAAATCAGCTTCGAATTTTCAAAGTTACCCGAATATTTCTGAAAAAAAGTATTTTGAGAAGAGCTTCGGTTAAAATTTATTGCACTTTGCCCATCTCTGCAAGACGCAGACACAAAAAACGATAAAAATTATGAATCAGTGGAGTCGCATAAATTATAGTATCTTTAATTTAAAGCATCAGGACCATCCATGATTGACGATAGAGGTGGACGTAAAACTAGGAACATTTACTTTTAGGGTGCTCTTTTCTTTGCTACTTCTTACTAACTAATGGTAATTAATATAGACAAGTACTAGTTGCAGACAGGAAAACAGAAACACATCGGCTCTGCTCTACAACTCTATAGAAGCAGATCGGTAATTTTTAGTATGAATGAACGCTTTAGACGATGTTGTATATAATAGTACTCCTGACATAATTATAATAGAAATTACATTCATACCTAGGAACCATATATACATATATGTGTGTGTGTGTGTATATATATATATATATATATATATATATATATATATATAACACGAAAAACTATTGTTGTATGCGTGAATGTTAGCTAGAGATGCAGGTGACAAATCTGAGTGATGGATAGAGAAAAAAAAACCCAAAATTTGAGGTCCTATTTTTAGGGTCGTACTCCGAAATGAGCTAAAGCACAACAAAATGTGTGCAATTGTGCATCAAGTTCGTTCGGATTAATTAGCCTTATCTGCACACACACTGTATTCTAGCCATGTGTATAACCATATTTCTTGGTATCTATATATATCGCAGCATTATAACAGGCACTCGGATCTACTTTGCCTCTTTGTCGAAATGATTCTACTATATATAATACAAACCTGTCCTAACCTAAAGTGGTCATCGTAAATTTCACAGTAAATTGAGACTAAAGGCATTGTGCTGCTATACTATGTTTAGGTTCGATCTCATTGTCAAAACCGCTTCTCTGTTTCCTTCGTATTCTGCATATAGTAGACGGAAGACAGAAACGAGTTTTGCTACATTTGACGTCGCTGAAACATTTCGGAGGCCCGGAACGGGGTGCGCGCATCTTCATCTTATCGTAGCTTTGAATGAGTCTGGAGTTTCTTTTCTTTTACTACGTTTGGCTACTCCAGGAATGAAAGAGCAGTACGCTCGGGCATAGTATACATACACGCTAAACGTTAAACGTGCTATTTGTCTCTCTTGGTAGAATTCGCGAAGGCATTCAACTAACTTCTACGAAGGACGACGTAGCTATAACTGTGCCGTTCTTCATTGAGACTACCGTTCATATTGATCGCAAACAAGTCGAAACAGCGAGTCACTCCTGTGGCCGCCGCTGTCGGTGGCTACGACGACGACGCAAACAGATATCCGTGTCGTACAAACAAAGAAACCCACTTGTTCTTTTCGGCAGCCAGAACCTTAGCAGAAGTTTAGGCAACACGAGATGCCGGCTACGGCACCTTAGGCCGCCGCATCTGACCTTTCTCCGTTCGTCTTCCTAAACCTCAACTTAAACAAAAGCTCGGATGATATATAATGTATTATAATCTGGCTACAAACAGACGCATACATGCATATATACATTTAGTATAGAATATTAACTTATTCGAATGGTTGCGGAGAGCTTTCGGAATGTCTTTTTTTTGACGTTATTTGCTTTGTCCACTGCCTTGACACTGGGAGTACTTGCCAAGGCCAGTATCTGTTTTTTGACTGTCCTGGGTGGAGTTCGGCTGTATGATGAACGAATGAAATTGTCAACTCCATTACGATGCAATCTAGACTTTTTGCATTTGTTGAAAAATGGATATGGAAAAAAAGTATGAAACGCTCACCGCTACTGTGACCTCATCCTCCTTCAACTACCATGTACATATCATGTATATAGTTTCTACAAGTGATGAGTCGAATCATATTTATCATAACTAGAAGGAGGAAAATCATACAGACCTGGCAAAATCGAAATCTATACGAAAAAAGGAAAGCAGGAACTAAAGCGTATGGCGACGATCTATTGTACTACGTGGACAAAATACAGAGCAGAGCTATAAAGCCAAATAGTAAATAAAGTTCGAAAAATTTAAAACAACTAAGGAAACTGGTGCGTACTTGATTTTTCATTGTGTTGATCCCTTGAAAATCAACAAACTAAGTAAAAATCAAGATTTATAAGTACTTAGACTGTTTCAACAAGCGAGGTCACATGTTAGCTGGCCTCATTCGATGATGTGGAAAAAAAAATCGGTTCTTTATTTTTCCGCAGCAACTTTCGCTCATTATCGGTGTGTGTCGTTCGACTAGAGGCGTTGTCAACTCGTTGATGAGCATTGGACCATCGTAGAGTAGCGTCTCGATGACTCTACTTATCTGCAGTACAGGTAATTAACAACGTAATTGAGTTTTCGTTCTATTCGTCCGTGCGCGGAGCTCCTCTGTCTTTTGTTAATGTTCGTTACTCCTATAGTTTCTTGTTCCATTCTCACTCAATGCGTTGGGTCCTTAGCCTTTGTAACAAGACTGGCCAGCACCTGCTCTTGCAGTGATAGATTATGGCTACACAGGACATGGGGCGGAAACAAGGACCTTCGTCTAAAAACAGAAGCTATCAACACAGCCGTAGCATCCGTCGAAGTTTCGTGGCAGGCGTACTCGTCCACGCACTTTGCTAATTTAATCTGCTTTTAACGAACAATTCGTATCGCAGCGAGCAAAACCGTATAAACATGAAAAAAGGGCCAGTCTAACTAAAACAAGTGCGTTCAGGCGTCCGTGTAAGAACATAAGCGAAGACTTAAATTTAAGTGAGGCTTCTTGCGAGTCTAATAGCGACACTTAAATTACCTACCGGCGATGTCAAAGAACTGTGCTTCATTTCCATCCACCTACAATGCTCTCAGCTGGCTGAGTCATTAATTTAGTTATTTACGTGTCTATATATATATATATATATATAGACAAATTGGATAAAGCGGTCTTCAGAACTATCTTCAGTGGTCATCACATCTGCATCAAGTTCAAAGACACTGTGATGGAAGTAATAAAAATTAAGCTAACGCGTATGGCTACATATAGTCCCCGTGCCCTGTCGTTTTGTTAGAGTACATTACGTATTGCTAACGTTAATCATAGTAGTTTGACGTATAGTTTTCATGAAGCTTCGCAGACTTCCAGAAGTCATGTACGACTCCCTATATATTCTGCGAAAAAAAAGCAGCAGATTTAAAGCTATCTAGTAATAGTATAGTATCTTCACAGAATAAGGTATTGTGAATTCGTAGCAAAATGCGAAGGTACATCCGACTCACACTACTGATTATGTGTACCGTGCTCATTTATATAGCACGCGTCCCCTACTTTTCGCTCTCTGTATGAAGATGACGAGTTAGTTTCTTTAATCATTGACCGTTTTTTGGTTGCTATGGCACAGTTAATAATCAATGATTTCAGTTATTGGATAGCAACAACCGTTGGCTTATATAGGTCTCATAGGGTACGAGCAACGATGTTCACGTTCATGCAACGACGTCAACGTTTAATCAGTGGCTGTTAGCCACAGCAATCATACGGCGTGTGGCACGACGATCACTCCAGGCCGAATGTTGTGCTTGGAATCAGGCCACCAAGGAATACAGCTTACGAACGAACATCAGCGGCAGCAGCGATCAAGGACAATACCTCGACCGCCATGTAGCATCCGGCCTCGATGCAGCCTGACCTAGGACCTGTAGGGTGAAGCGGAAGCTTAGGCGAAAATAAAAATGTTACTTATTTCTTTAGGCGTCACAGTGGACATCAGGGTTGCACGGAGTTGAGAAGGAGGCGGTACTGCCTAGTGAAATTCGGTAATGTTGTTGTACACCAATTTGATGCAAATCTATGATTGTAGCTAAGAAATAGAAAAGACATCATTTGATCCCGTATTTGGAGATACTCAGGGATATTTGATTTCATTGTCATGATGGAAAAACGAGGTCGAAAAAAGGCCAACAGTAAAGGCACTTTTCGCCGGCACTTGGTCATCATCGGTGATTTTAAAACTTTTGCTGCCTTCATTTGAGGACCAGATGGGACAGGATTATATACCTGGAGAGAAAAGCCAACAGCGCTAATGGCTCTGCTGCAAAAATGTCACGAGCAGCATCCTATGACGTGCGTCAAAATTAGGCATTTCGTAGAAACCCAGCGGGCGCGATGGGGTTCTATTACTACAGTGCGTGAACACTATTAATAAACTGTCCCAAATTAAAAAGAACATAATTTACGCTCATTATAAATGGAAATCTATTCTCTTTCGGAGAGAAAGATAAACGAAGCATTGCGTCATTTGTCGTTCCTATTAATGTGATACGCTGTACTTTGCCAAACTCAAATATACTATCGTAGATATATATGAATGGGTTGTATTGGGATTAACTTCTGAAGTTCTAATGACATAGAAAGGAGAAAATTATTATATCTACTTAGGACGTAATACAAGTAATTCTCATCTGTATGTTAGGATGCTTGAATCCATTGAAACGATGCGAAGTTCAAAACGTTACTTAATTCTTACTAATCAATATATAGGCAAGAAGCATATGAGCCACAAAAGAGACGGTAACGCCTACTGAGACTGCGCAAGGCTTAAGCACACAGATCCCCTTTTATCCAGCCCTAGGGAATAACAGTGGTGGTGGCAGTTTGTGTATTCATTACGACAGATCAAAACGTAACTAATAAAGTAAACACAATTACAGGTTAGATGCGCTATAAGTGATCTGGGTAAACCTGCACAGTATGCGGTTGCGTTTCCTTGAAAAAGAACTTCAAGGATTTCACGACTCCTTAGGACGAGTCAGCACTACTTATCTTTGAACAATTAGTGCTCATAATTTATTAAGCTCAAGCCAGTTTCCGAACCGAATAATGAACCGTTTTATTCATCTTTTTTTTACGACGATTGCGTGACTGATCATTTCATCATTCTTTCATTGAGTTCATACGGGCCCTTCTGTAACAAGCATCAACGGAACGAAACTGTTATATGTTGAGAACCGTAAAAGACAGCCTATTAGTGCCGTTGACGATAGCCAAATTCGCCGCCTCTGCTACGGGCCGAAAAAGGTGACATCGCTTTTGCTTGATAAACTTCATATCGACCAGCTGTCCTCCTTCTGTAGATCAACAGAAACGGGCGTCAATTTTTATATTTTTTCAGTTCGACACCATTACAGACCCGATCCGACGCCAGACGAAGACAACTCCCTCATCGCCTCAATGTGTGGCATTATGTCATGTACAGAATTGTAGATCTACCTATATAGGTATGTATGCCTTTGTGTCACTATGCACGCGTCGATGTGTCAAGCTGTATGTGCTTCAATCTGTTGTTGATGTTGTCTCTACTGGCTGCCGCCGCTCCTGGCATTATTGCCGTTGCTATTCAAGTGTCTTGTACCTTCGTTGAGTCTTCAATAATAATCCTTAGGCATAACAGCACACAAGTAGCCGACAAAAGTTCCTTCCCTGAAATTTCACGTTACCGACAACCACGCTACAGGCTCAACGACTGACGATTCGCCGACATCCAGCTCACCTCGCCTAACCTTGCTCGTTGAAGTTGATGTTGAGGGGCTTCACTGACGTTGGGGGCAGCAGCGCCTGTTGAGAGCAAACAATGTACGTTTGAAGTTTTCCGACTACAATTTAACCAATAAAAGCTGACACGTCTCTGCGGTGGACGATGACTGCAAAACGAGAGGGATCATTTCTTCGTCGGGGTGGAGTAGTTTTTTGAGCGTTAGTTACATTGGAAGTGACACCTTGAGCCGTGTTCGTTCGCTTCGAGGATGTAGCCATGCAACAAAAATCTTGACAACATCCGACAACAACGAGATTAAGGATAAAGGAGGTCGTTTGAGTGTTACTGACAAGGATGCCTGCCGCCTGAGCGTGAGCTGTCCACGGTTTGTCAACCGCAGTGTGAATAAAAAATTAGAAGCAAAGGCCGCGTTCAAACCTGTTCGTCGAGTTGGTAATATATATGACAGAGAACAGCGCTAGTTGACTGAGGCAGAAATCTCTCATGGATGGAAGAAATCTCTCAAAACGATGTAAAACCGTTTAATTTCGACATTTATCTCTGAAAATTTGTAACGTTGGGCCCGACAATTACAAGAGTCATGAACGGCATCATTTAATTTTGTCAAGAGCGACTAACTTAAGGTTTCTAGAAATGTCTACAAGAAGGTTGACAGGCTATACGAAAAATTTCAGTGACGTCGTTCAGGTTCAGTGAGATTCGAAAACGGACGCAACGATTGTTCCATTTATTTATTATTTGAAGAGCTCGATCCGATCTTAGAACTACGCACCTTTTGATACACTGAACTATCTTCTCGTAACTGCCAATGATATCCCTATAGTATTTGTCCCATAAGCTTTAAACATCATCTATGAGTTAGCCACTCAGGAAGGTCTTCAACGCAGGAGAGCGCACGCCATATATTGTACAGAGTGTGCATCTCTGTGTGTGCGTATTGACGGACATCAAATCATTTAATGAAAATAAATCTTCTTTGGCTATGGCGACAAGCTGCGTTTTTTTTTCCCACTGGTATAGGATACACACATTTGCAATTTCTCACGTTTTCTACGCCGTTACGCTCTTTCCCTTACCTATCCATATCTATGTACTACCACTATTTTGTCCTTAGTTTTTTTCTCGTACTTCCTCGATTAGTTGGCCCTCTCTTTCTTCCTTCCGCTCTGCAGAAAGGACGCGTAGATTGTACGCAGGAGACAGACATCAGCGCTCTCGCATTCGTCCGGCCATAACATTATCATTATTCCGTGTGGTCGCTGAACCTCGGAAGCGTTTATTACTCGACTGCCGATCGATATCTTTATTGGTTTTTGCTATCAAGACACGAAACAAAAACAGAAAAAGGCGAGAAAATATACAGTAAGAAAACAAAAGTTATTGGGTGGTTTTCGGGATATAATTGCAACGAAATTTCGCACGTCCATCAAGGATCATCAAAAGCAACTGCCTCCCGATCAATTGGTCATTTTCAAACGATGGATTCCTTTTG